ACTTGTGGTGCTCATGCAGCACTTCGTATTGCATTCATAAATATATTTTTCATATTTTATGTATATGCCTTGTGCACTACTCTCACCTGTGTCCATGGCGACCAGCGTCAGCGTGTATTCAGCCTTTGCCTCACGATCGAGCGCCCGCAGCAGCGATATTTCGCCTGTCGATGCATTTATGCGAAATAGATCTGTATCGCCTTCCTTCAGAAAGTAGCGCACTTGCGAGTTAAATGGCGGCGTATCAGCATCGTAGGCCTCCACTGTCAGCACATAGCCGCCATTAGGCGGTATTACATTCTCCATCACATAGGCTAGATAGGGGGAGTGCAGGAACGTTGGCGGATTGTCATTGATGTCCATGATGATGATTGTTAGTTCGGCGGTATCGTAGCGCGTCTCACGCAGCTCCACAGCATGTTTAGAAGCGCCCGCATTGGCGCCTCCGCCACCGCCGCCGCCGCCGCCACCACCAATACTAATGCCAGCACTGCCGCCACCACCGATGCCACCGCTGCCACCACCAGCAACAGCCGTGCCGCTGGCTGCGCCCACTTTGCCCACCAGCAGGTGTGTTGCTGCGACCTTTGCATCAGCGGCACAATCTTCAGCGCGCACTGTCAGCACATAACGCGATTTGCGCTCATAATTCAAATTCTTCGCCACGCGCACCATGCCCAAATCTTCGCTAATGCTAAAGTCGCGATTATCATCGCCGGCGGCAATCGAGAAGCGTACACGTCCATTGGCGCCCTCATCTATATCGGTTGCAGCGACTTGTAGTACCATTGCGCCAATGCTGGCATTTTCCGGCACCGAGGCGGAGTACTGTTTTGGGTCGAATATGGGGCTATTGTCGTTCTCGTCCAATATGCGTACGGTGATTTGAGTTTGTGTGGATTGCGGTGGATCACCGCGATCACGCGCGGTGATATTTAGCATGTAATTAGCGCGCAGTTCACGATCCAAGCGGCTGGCGACGCGCAGCAAGCCATCCACTGAGCCTAGCGTGAAGGGAAGACTGTCTTCGTCGCCGTAGTCGGAATGGGTGCCAGTAGCGCCGCCTTCGAGCAGATATTCGATGTAGCCATTGCGGCCTTCATCGCGATCTATGGCCTTGACGACCATAACTACAGTATTGGGTGAGATATTTTCCAAAATAGATGTCTCATTTGGTGAGCTGAAGGTGGGCGCTTCATCGTTGACATCCTTCAAGGTGATAGTGACCTGAAATGAGGAAATAGGGATAAAGTGGTTTAGTAAACTGAAAAGCTCGTTTACAAAGTAAACCAATTAAAATTGCAATTAGGTTTAAAAATATTTAGGTAGGAAATTCTAATACAGTGTAAACTAGTAACCTCATACCAAGGGAAGTCCCCTTCAGTGAGAGTCTAAAAATCGCGAGAATGTCAAAAATCTCAGCATAAATAATAGGCGTGCTTAAAATATCTAACATACTCTTACTGCTCATATCGCTGTTCAATTCGAATTCGCGGTGCAGGGGTTAAGAATAAATTTATAGTCAAGGAATGGCTATCAGCTTTAAGCTTTCGAATAAGCTTCTGCTTCCACTTTACAGGTAGTACTTAAAAGTAGGCAATAACGATCTTAACGCGGAAGTGTACTTTTTTTTTTTTGAAAATCATACAAAGGAGTACATGTAAAGCTTTTAACCCTTTCAGGCCCAGAGGAAACATCTTTCCTTGAAAGCTTTTCCACTCATAAGAAAACTATCTGAATCATTTTAAAGTTCTCTGTTTTTTTTTTTTAATGTGCGTTAATTTTATGTGTGTCTTCTTATAAGAAAATTTTAGACGTAAGTATTTTTACCTAAACTAGAAAAATTTACCACAAGATAGAAAAAAATTACTTTTAGAAAAAAAAATAACATGGAGAAAAAAAGTAAATTTTTAGAGAAATCTCATTTTTAAAAAAAAACCTTTAAGAAAAAATATACACTTGATTGAAAAATTTTTAGAAAGAAAGAATTTTGAAGAAAAAAGAGTAGTTTTAGAAAATATTTTTTTTAGGAAGAAATCTTTTTCAGAAATAAATATTATTACCAAAAGCTGAAAAAATTATCCAAGTGGAAAATATAATTTGCAAAAAAAAAATGTAGGAAATGAATTTTTGGGAAAATTGAATTGTTAAAAGTAATTCTTAAACAAAAAACAAAACCGACTTCAATTCTCATATAAAAATTTAAGAGTACACTTAATTTCTTCATAATTCAATGATCGGATGTAAACTAAATTAGTATGGAACCCCAACTGAGGTACCACGTTTCCTTTAAAAAATATAAATTGTTTAAGATGGTCCAAAGTTATGCGGTGACATACATACAAAAAAAAATATTCCGACGAATTGATAACCTCCTCCTTTTTTTCGAATTCGGTTTAAAAGAAATTTCTTCCTTACCTTTTCTTTAAGAAATATCAGCTCAGGTATGTTTTTAATTGTAGGCTTACGGTCCCGAAAGGGTTAATGGCACCAGTACAGGCAGAGAGCTTTTAATAGTACCAGGATAGGCAGAAAGCTTTCAATAAATAGCATCACAGAATAAACAACAGAAGAAGCACGGAAATTGGCGCTGAAATCGGAAATTGTGGCACGGCTATTGCGGGAAAGTATGACATCGACGCTTCTGCTAATCCTAGGTGCCTCCTTAGTAAGGTTGAGTTAAAATCTGTTTATCTTCCGCTTATATCTTTTACTAACCTCCTCATCGCTGACATGAAATTTTGGTCAGCATCCTCGTTTTCTACTTTACATTTTCTGTTTGTCATGCTTTTTTACAGTAGACTAAGATGTTAAGCGTTTGCTTTTCATGCTGTATGTTAATTCCTCTACCGTCTTCCGGCTCCTCATATTCACTTTTCTTCTCTGGCACGGTCGTAATATTACAGAGATGCCTATGCCCCACTCTGGTATGGCCTAAGGGAGCATTTTTGCCTTTAATCTTTACACCCCTTAGTCTACTCCTCTGCTACGCAGAACGTAAGTGCTCATCCATTGACCTAAGCTCTTTTCTCAAATGGCTCTACTAAGAAATAGGTGTAATGGTGTGCCCTTAACTGAGTGGCAAAAGTGATAGCGACAATTTGGTCGAACTTATGTAGTTGGTTTTTTGGTGAGCAGTACCCCCTAAGGATTGGTGTGAAAATCTTAGGTTCCTTCTTTAGATAGGTTGATTAGAAGCCTTATTTTTTTAGCTTGTCCTCTTATCCTCTGATAAATCTTTGCCCCGACGACAATATGTGGTGCTTCACCCCTGTTCTTCTTTCATTCCTACTATCTCATTCCTGACCTCATCTCTAATATTATTGGAACTTACTGCAAAGAAGGACTCAGATTCTGTGAGAGTTCAGCCTGCTGCCTTGTTTATCTCTATTCTTTTGTGATCTGAAACCCAAAACCGCCAAGCATCACTGTGTTAAGCAAATACGGTAAAATTCTTAATGAACTCAAGGACTAGAGAGGATTTAGCCTCAACGGATAAGACGGTTTTGAGTGTCATCTGACTAAATATCGTTAAGGATTACGTTGCTCTCATTGCGAGACCATAGGATATGTTTGCACTGGTGTATTTTATGCATAGGTCAAAAAATTTTCCGCTTTTTCGGAAACTAGTTACATTAGGCTTTATCCCAAAATCTGAGAAAACACAATGTATAGTCCGGGAATTTTCGACCCATAAGTATAGTTGGTAAGGTGTAATATTTTTAGGTTTTTCTAAATTGTCGTACCTATTTGAAATTAGGCTCCTTTGAAAAAATATTTAGTCCTAGATGAATGGATTTACATAGAAGGACCTCAAGAAAATTTCTCAAATAAATTTTTGTTTGCAAATAAATATATATATTTGTATGAACCTTTTTAAAAACAGCCCATATAAATTATGATTATCTCTTGGAATAGGTTTCGTTTTGAAAACATACTAATCCTTTCGACACCGCATTTTCTCCAGTTACCTTTGGACTTAAGTTTGACTTTCCATCTTGCTATGTGCATTCTAGAAGTATCTCGGTAAAATTTTAATTCGCATATAATTATATTCAATGTTTTCAATAAATTTCCGCTGTGGCCTCTTCCGCAATCAATACAAAAGATTGTTTTATAAATTGCTACAATTAATTTTGTTTATAAACAATGTTTTCTTAACCGCATTGCCAGTAACAATGTAGTCCCGCTGTGTGGATTTCCGATTTTACATTTTGATTAAAAATGCGTAGCAGCTGAAAATTTTGAGCACATGCAGCAAAGAGCAAAAAAAAGAAAACAACATAAAAAAAGGAAACAATAAAAAACGGCAGAACAAAATACATATACATACATACATAATTTGTTTGTGTCTTGTTCATGTACATAAATGTGTTGCAGTGATATATGAAACGAGTTAAATGAATAGCCAGGAAGTGGACTAAATATGCATACATACATACATACATATGTATGTGTGTCGATGCTTTTTGTTCAAAGTCCTCTGTGAAATGTTTTTGGGACATTAAAAAAAATACGCCTATCACAAGCGAAGACCTTAATATTAAGATTTAAAGACGGTCATCGAAACAAAATTTCCTAAAAATTCTGTATAAAAGTGATAAAGCCTTTTTATACCCGAGCGCACTTGTGCACAAGGGTATATTAATTTTGTTCACATAACGGTTGTTTGTAACAGCCAAAACGAATCGAGATAGATATAGACAAATGTATACATAAATGATCAGGATGAAAAAAGAAATCGATTAAGCCATGTCTGTCTGTCCGTCCGTCTGTCCGTCTGTCCGTCTGTCCGTCTGTCCGTGTACACGATAACTCGAGCAAAAATTGAGATATCTCAACGAAATTTGGTATGTAGGTTTCCCTTAATCCAAGGTAGGTTGGTATTGAAAATGGGCGAAATCGGACTTTAACCACGCCCACTTCCCATATAACGGTAATTTCCAGAAATACGAAAACTGCGATATTTTAGTAACTACTGAAGATAATTCACTCAAAATTGATATTTACAATAATTTTTAGACGAAAAATAAGAATATTATAAATTTTTGGAAAATGGGCGTAGCCACGCCCACTTATGGTTACATGTGTATATCTTGGTAACCGCTGCACCAATTTCTTCCAAACTTGACACAGTTGTTGGCCTTGGCACAGCATAAAAAAATGACGAAACTTTTTAAAATCGGACAATAACCACGCCCACATCCCATATAACGGTAATTTAGAGAAATACAAAATCTTCGATAAATCAGTAAATATTGAAGCTAATTTATTCAAAATTGATGCTTGCAACAATTCTTTACCAAGAAATACGTTTATGGTAAAATTTTGGAAAATGGGCGTGGCACCGCCCACTTATGATCACATATAAGTATATCGGTAACCGTTCTACCAATTTGTACCAAACTCGGTGTGGTTATTGTGCTTGCCACATATAAGCAAAACGTTGAAAATTATTGAAATCGGACTAAAATAACGGCCGCTTCTCATATAACGGTAAATTTCAGAAATGCTTGAAACTTCAATATTTCGAAATTGAAGGACGCTAATTTACTCAAAATTGATACACCCCGGCTTACCATCTAGCGGAAGGTTTCGGAAAGGTGAAAAAACATATATTTAATACTTGCGCCGGGTATTTAATGTTCGGCTTCGCCCGAACTTAGACTTTCTTACTTGTTTCATACTAAAAATGATAGAAATATTCTGAAAACTTATTTTTATTTTTCAAATTAAGGGCGTCACAAAAATCGATAAAACAATCAAACTAGGCCAACGAAATTCCTTGTGAGCTAATTATTTTTAGTTCCAGTAGTGTCATTGAGCTTTGTGACACGATTTGTTTTTTTTTTTAGGAAAAATGAAAAAAAACAACAATATCTAAGCGGCATAATTTATAGAAGCTATTTCAGTTTTTATAAGCACGAATATAATTTTAGTTCATACCAATGCCAAATTGTTATACTTTACTTAACCTAAACAGTCAATTAGCATATATTATAATTTTGGAAGTATGGTAACTCTTGAATTCTCAAGCAGGTGGTAACCCTCTTCGTTAATATTTTCGAAACTAGGCTTTCTCAAACCGTTTTCTCTTGAGTGTCATATTAAAATATTTCGCTTGACATGGTAACCATTTTGAGTTTGAATTTCTAAAGAGGTGGCAACACTCTGCGAAAATATTTTTGAGTTTTTACCCCTGCTTTGTTTGATATTCATATTAAAAT